AGTTTTCTGGATCTTATTATCCTACTATTGCAAATGGTTTAGTTCATATTGGTGAAATTTCTCTTTTACTCCATAATTTGAAGAAGAAAGAAGGATATACTTCTGTTGTTGAATCTATGCTAGATACATTTAAGAAATATTTCTATCCAATTCTCCCTATTTACCTAATTGGTGCTATTTTAAACCATTATATCAAAATGGCCACTTGTCGCCAATTAATCACTACTTTATATGTTTATATGGATATTGGACCAACTGAAAACCCCTGATGTTGAAACTTGTATTTTTGATCTACACAAACATTTACAAACTTTATATAATTATTATGCTAACATTGTTGATGCTTTTGCTGTTGTAGATGTAAATATTCCTTCAAATTCAGTTTCAACATCTGCATCCGGTGCTTTGGAGGATAATGATGGTGTTGAAGATTATTTGATTTGGTCTACACTACGAGAGCATCAACAAACCAGTAGCAGGAATATTGATGAACTCCAATTCTACTTGCAAAAGTCACCAAAGCCCCGCACAAAGGAATTTCTACCGCTGAGTTGGTGGAGGAGCAACTCAAATCAATTTTCTGTTCTTTTGGCCATGTCTCGAGACGTGCTAAATGTGCCGATTTTAACAGTCATATCAGAGAGCGCATTTAGCCAAGCAAGGCAGAAACTAGGAGATACTCGACATTCATTGAGCAGCAATGCTTTGGAAATTCTAGTGTGCTTTAGAGATTGGATAAGATCAGAACGACGAAATCAAGGGCGTGAAGAGGTAAATGAAGCAGAGGACCAAAAAATTGGAGATATAACGGTTTATGGTTTCGATTCAAGCAATGCCGGAAACCAAGAACCTCATGTTGACATGGATACAACAACAATAACAATAACAACAACAACAACCCAGTAATAATCTCACTAGTGGGGTCTGGGAAGGGTAGAGTGTACGCAGACCTTACCCCTACCCCGGAGGGGTAGAGAGGCTGTTTCCGGGAGACCCTCGACTCAGAGACAAAAGACCTGTAACAATAACAGAAATCAGACAAATAATATCAGCACCGTAAAAGACAACAAATAAGTGAACATGGATGAACTTACAAAAATGATGCAAAGCATGTGATGTACTCTTTCTTATTTTTTATAATTTTTGTAAACTTTTAATTTGCAATTTCAAAAATAAAAAATCAAAATAGAACCTGCAAATTAATTTAAAGTATTATTTATTATTCAATGAAAATACAAAATGAAAGCCTTCGGAGTTTGATCCTTACATATTGGTCTTATTAAATAATTTTTTGTAGCTACTTACTTTCAATTTTAAAATTTTAAAATTCAAATTTCAAATTTAATTCTAAGCCATAAAAGTTTGCAAACACTTAAGTATCAAAAATATTGAATAAGAAAAAAATAATATACCTAAAAAAAAAAAAAGTAACCCGGCCTGGTCCGGACCTGTTAAGCCCGAACCCGGACGGGCCCTAATTAACCCGGATTTTCCCAACCCGTTACCAGCCCGGTTAGCCAGCCCACTATCCAGCCGGGACCACTAACCGGACGGGCTATTTTTTTCCGTCTCCAGTCCGGACCAACCCGTCCGGTTAACACCCATAATTGGCTTAAAGAGAAAAAAATAGGAAACTACCGCAAAAATTATGGAAACTCCTCCAGCCTAAGCTCATTTCCACATCAAAATAAAGAAACTCTTCAAGATTTGAAAATGTAATTACTTAGAACAATTAAGAAACTCATGCACGTTAAGTACGATTGTTTGATAACACTGAGAGGAGGAAAAAGTCAAGATGTCTATTTAAACTATGGGTAGAATACACTACTCGTTGCAATGTATCTCTTGTGTCAAAAGGCTGTCCAACGGGACGGCCGTCCCGTCCCGGCCCACTTAAATCCAAACGGGATGGCCCCATATTAAACGGTATACGGGATGAGACGGGATGCCCATTTCGTCCCGTTTATCCCGTCTTCGTCCCATCCCGTCCCGCATGTCCCGTCTATCCCGCGTGCTTTTTAAATATTATGGTATATTTGTGGAATTTCTATTGCATTTGATAAGTATAAAACAAATCCAACCTATCAGTAGCATCGAAGAGTGCTTTTAGCGCGACAAGATTTCAAATCGGAGATCATAGACATTCATTAGTGGAGGACAGCCTAGAGATTTTTATTTTATTCAGAGATTGGATTAATTCAGAAAGATGAAATCTTGGTTTTGAAAAATTAACCACTAGAGAAGAAGAAGAATACAATGAGATACTTAGCATTGGGAGCGATAACGACATGAAACTCATGGAACATCAATCAACATTGTCAATTCCAGAACAATGTCCGAGAGAAATTATAGATAAGTTATAACGAAGCTATATATGAGCCTACAAATATTAGTATGATAATTTGTAATTGGCTACTAAGAGGCCTAGTTCAAACAGAACCCTTCCTAGAAGGTGGCTGTGCATATTAGGTGTTTTTCAAAAGAATTATATTTGTATGTGAAATTTGAAAGTTCTATTAATAAAAAAAAAAGACTCTAAGCCTTGAATTTTTTTATGAACTGTCTTACACTCTTACTTAGTTACTTAATGGCTTGAAATTATATTAAATAAATTATAACTCTATTATAATTACTAAAATATTTTATTACAAGTCTTTTATTTTAATATTTTATAATTCTTTACTTAGTTTCCTAATTTTTTTATAATTTATTAAGTTTAAGTTTATTAAATAAGTCAAAAAACTAGTTGTTGCAAACTTTAAAAACTTAGTCTGTGTCAAAAAATTAGCCGTTGCCAAACTTAATGCTTAAATAATTAATTTCTTTTTTAAAAAAATGGCCCACTTTAAGGCCCGCGAAACCGTCCCGTCCCATCCCGTCCCGTTTGTTAGCGGGATGGGATAGGCCTACCGTTTCGTCCCGTTTAGGCCCGTCCCGTCCTACCACCGTCCTGGCTAAATGTCGTCCCGTCCCATCTCGTCCCGTCCAGTTGGACAGCACAAGTTGTGTCTAAGAATATTCAGTTGAACGTCTAATGAAATGACTGGGCAGAATCAACTGACCAAGTGATACTTTTAGAAACATAAGTTTTTAGTTGGTCCTTTGTTGTTGGATCTTTGCTCTGATGAACTTTTGAACCTTCTATCAAAATTCCTTCCTCCACAATTTAGACAGTCGAAATTCCTTGGCCTGCCATGTCATAGTACTTACATCTTCATTTGGATTTTGCAGAGCTAGGTAAAGTTTTAGGCGTTATGATTCCCGGTGTTTTATTAGTAGATATATGTTTCTTGTAACTTGTGCATGGACAGTTTGATAGTGATTTTTACAGTATCAGATTCGTGCTTTGGCCAGTTACAGGTGTTATGTTTACTCATCACAATCTATGCTTCCTCAAAACCTACTTTCTTCATCCACAGGATCTTGTGTGAGTTTAACTCTTTTGAAGAAACTTAGTCTTTGCCCAACCAAAAATGGTAATCCCTCCCTTCATGTCAATTTATGTGAACCTGTTTGACTGGGCACGGAGTTTAAGAAAAAATGAAAACTTTTAGAATTTGTTGTCCTAAACAAGTCAAAAAGGAGCCTAGAGTATTTGTGTGGTTATAAAAGCTTCTCATTAAGGTAGAAATGTAAGTTTAAGCAAAATTATTTCCAAATTTAGAAAGGGGTCATTCTTTTTGGAACAGACTAAAAAGGAAATAAGTTTACATAAACTGGAACGGAGGGAGTAGTGCTGAAATTTTGAACACCATTTTGAGAAATTGTTCATTCCCTGCGGGGTGTGGAGCCTAAATGACCTATTTGTATCTACTAAAGTGGTGAGAATGGAAAAGTACTTAATAGCAATAGGCGACCTTTTCTTCTTTTACTTAAATAGTTTTTCGTCTCCTTGATAGCTGGAAGTTTTTCAAAATTATGAAAATGTAGAGGACTTTGTACCGTCATTCCCGGTGTGGTTGGATTCTATTCAACAACGCAAGGACTTGAATCACATTTTTTAGCCTAATCAAGCAGTGTGACTTCGTTGTGATGGCTTTCCTTGTTGCAGAATTCATGTCTGCTTTCCAGTGAAGACTGTTGAGAACGTATTTTCTTGAAATTATTACTCAAAAGTACAGGTAGGCTGATATCCTTACCTATTTAAGCCCACATTCCATTCTCTTTCTCAGTTTAGCCTAATTTGTATATATATTGAAAAACAATTCATAGAAGAAAAAACCCCTTACTTTGTTTAAATGAGATGAACTGAGTTAAAATAAGATATAGTTTACTAAAAGTAAGATACATGAATGAATAAAATCTTGCTTTCGTTCCATAAATATGAATATCGTATTTCAATAACTTTCTCAAATTCTAAAATGAGTACAACAAACATTCACACATAATATTCCTTTCAGTTCCAATTTTTAGGAGTTTCTAAAAGTAATAAGCTAAAGAAAGACATTTTTTCTGTTTGGTTGTGATTTTTTTCAAAAAGAAAAATGGTGAACAACTTTTCTAAACCAAACGGCCTAATAAAAAATAGTTCATGAGGATATAGAACAATGTTTCCTTCCTCTTAAAATGCAGCATATCTCAGTATCTTTCACTCAGACACACTTCTCTAGCCGGCTTGTACTTATTTTTACAGTCTATATTTTTCCTTTTTTAAATTCAACTTCCAGGCTTTTAGCTACCTGCAATTTTCTATCTTCCAACAAGTGCCGACTTAAAATAACAAACAGAACTTCCCAGGATTTCTGACTCAACAATTTGTTTTTGTCCTTATAAGAACATTTAACATCATTATAATTGGGCACATCATATTTTAACACCTTAATACTTGTTGTCAAAAGTATCCCAGGTTTATCTTTACACTTAAGCATTTTCTTGTTTAACAAACTCCGTCACATCAAGAATTATATCTGGTGATCAAATCCTTGTGCCAAGTCAATTACCACATAGCATAAGAACCAAGATTAAGTGATGATTGGTAGACAGCCCATGAACTTGTAAAAATGGCCAGCATAACTTCTCTAGTCTCTACCAATTCGTCAAAGAATGGAATTGTTGCTGATTTTTCCAGCATGGAAGAAGGAAAACATGGCGTCTTTCGGACTCCTATGAAGGAATTGTCTCCCGGAGCTGCAACATTCATGTCTGCATTCCAAAAGGTAGCGCTTCCTTATTCCCGTTAAATGGTGTGACCATCTCATCTAAAGCTTAAGTTGAGAAAACGCACTTTTATTTACTTAATTACATCTTCGACACGCCACCTGACGTGCCTGATTATCTTTAATGAGCCAAGCACGAGTAAGTTATTTTTTATCAAGGGTGATGGTGAGATTGAATCTAAGATATATCTCTGTTCTAAAACCATGTTGAATTGCATGACTATTTCATCTAAACGTTTAAGTTGTAAGATAAAACACACTTTTATTACTTAATTACATCTTCAACAATCTCCAACCCCCCCCCCCCCC